CTGACCGGAAGGTCCGTGGTTCGAACCCGACCTCCGCCACTCGACTTCCCCTGTCTAGGCTTGGGCAACCTGACAGTATCCCAGCCCTCGTGCTTCCTTCGGGTGGCATGGCAGCTAGGCACCGAAAGGGCGCTACAGCTGAACGATTATTATATTATTATTATTAAACTGTTTCGCCCTGCAAGAGGATGCATCCATCCGATAGATTCTGGAACAGCGTCACTACTTCGAGCGACCGACAATGGTTGTCCTCCTCGATTTGAAAACTGCATTTGACTCAGTGGACCGTCAGGCACCATGACAGTATTTGTGGTGCAAAAGTGTTCCCTATAAATTATTTGGTCCTGCTAAAGATGCTGTACGCCAACTCTAGCGGATATGTGGAGGTGTACGGAAGTTCGCAATTGAGGTAGCGGACAAATCTGTCTAACTTACCAGCTGTATCATTCCCGTTGATCTATCCAAAGATGATATTTCCATCCGGGTTGGGAGGCCCAGAGCAGCTCTTGTGGACTTGAACCACCTGTAGCACAGACGTGACATCCATTTATCTGTCAGTGCCCGAGTTTGCACTGTTTCAGTGCGCACCATAGTGTTATACGGGTCAGAAAACCGGCCGCTTCTGTATTACGGCGTTAGGAATCTTTCAGTGTTTGGCCATCTGTGTTCTCGAAATATCGCACAAGTCTGGTTGTAGTGCCGGATCAGTAATGCTAAAGCACCTCAAATGATTCCTGGAAGAAATAACTCGTTCACGATAGATTAACTGCTCACACTCCGCAAGTTGCACCGGCTTGGTCACGCGCTCTGTATGCTAGTTGATCGATTTACTCAAGGAGCTATTTCGCGAATCCGGACGGAAGGTGAAAACGAGTCAGGGGCGGTAAAAGAATGACTTGGTAGCATAGCGACTAACATGGTCCAGTCGGTGGCGCGCATACATCCAAGCCGTTACATTCAATGCCCTGTTTCCTCTCTCGACCTCCTGAATGAATGGTCTACTGAAAACCGTGTACTGACGTACCAATTATATCAGCCACTGCCTCCAATACGTAGCTATCTACACTACCTCTCCAAATTAGCGGCGAAACGAAGCGGTGACAGCTATGACTACTGTAAGGCAAGTATGCCGATTTTACAGCTCAAGATGATGAAGATGATAGTAGCCTTTACAGGTAAACTGGAAAACTTGTAACCTGAGGATGGAACCCTATAGATTTAGTGAAGTGAACACGTTTCAACATAAAGAATACATCATGAGAGTAACATTCCCAAGAGTTCACCGCTGAAAGATCAACCCGAGGCCGTCGGGTGAGCCAGAAAATGGAGCACCGAGATTTCTCATTTGCTAGCGTTCTTGTGGTATAAAAATAATAGTAATCCTTCTGCTGTAACAGCCTTTCGGTGCCTAGCCGCCATGCCACCCGAAAGAAGCATGAGGCCTGGAATACTACCAGATTGCCTACACCTAGACAGAAGGAACCGGGATGCAGATGTCGGGTTCGAACCACGGACTTTTCGGTCAGTAAATTCGCGTATTCAATCTAGATATTCCTCTAAGTAAAACGCTGTCGTCAAGACCTTATCACTCTGAAGACTCTCCTTTTACGCCGACTGAGTTTCTTGAGTGCAGCTATCATACAGGGTCTCTCATGTGCAACACGGATGGAGACATAACTCCGAGGAAAAACATTGTATCACATACAGTATACTCCACTATGTCAACCACATGTTGAGGATAGCCCAGGGTGTTTATGTTCAAAATACGGGTTCCTGAGCATGGATCTTTGTCTAACTTCACTTTAGGGCTGACTTTGCGCAAGACCTGAATGTTGTAGTGGTCAGACCCAGCGCCCAGTCTCTACAGGGGTGCATTTTAGGTTTATTGTTAAAAACGTTGTCAAGACTAGCTTGGACTCTAGTTGTTGTGAGGTTTGCTGTTTTGATCATCCCACATCCCCCCATAAAGAGTATATCAAAGTAGCTTAGGTTAGCACAAACTACGGAAATAGATAGAGACCCCGTATTAGACCGAAATTCAGAGAAACTGGGAACACCTTGACTCGTTGCGGGAAGAGCTGGGTGCAGTGTAGGTATTTACTTGTCAGTTCCATTGCAGCTGCGGTGAGACTTATGACAGTGGGACTCATATAAGGCTTCAGGCACAAGCGAAACGGGCATACTCAGATAATTTTTCTCATGACAATACACAGCCAGAAGTCAGCGTCGGCTCGACTCCTGGAAAGTTCACTTTAACACTCACTGGTATGTAGAGCACCTAGATGATTTTCAGCAGTGTCAGGTAGTTGTGAGATGTATTGAAATGAAACGACTGACTTATTTCATCAGTTCTTTGAATGTTTGATTAACTGCAACAGGAGCTACCAATCGGTACGCAAGTATAACAAGATATCGCAGCCGTCTCAGAAGACTAGACTGTCCAACAAACTCACATAGATCCACCAGTATTGCAACCCAATTCAACTCAACACAAGCCGTACTTGTGATCACCCATCCTACTTGATACTATGGCTCGCGCACGTCCGTATGACTAGTCGAATACCCCCACTGTGGAGGAGTGGCGCCGGTACTAACGACAGCAACCTCGTGTTTCCCGGCGATTGTTTCGACTAGTTCGCGAAGTACATATAACTCACCATGGGCTCGATTTCCACCGGCGAAACTCCTAGTCAGCTCACACATTCGGTCGTAAATATGGTCAACGCTAACAACAAGTTCATCTAGTAAAATTCTGGACTTACTTGATCCATGGGTTATCGGCTCCAAATGAGATTGAGGCTATTAAGACTATGCGAACACATTAGTGCGACAGTATATCCAGACTTAGAGACAAAACGGTCCCTTTGTTCGCGACGCTATTGAAAAGGCGGGGTCGTTTAATTAACGAAGAGATAGAGAATAGTCACGATATTACTAGTTTGGAATGATAAAAAGGAGATGTATCAAACATTGGGGTACACTAGATTGGAAAACCAATTGTTGTAAGGCTTGGAGACAGGCGTCTGTTCAGCGGGGTGGTATACGAAAGGAAATACAGTTCGCAAATGCGGAACCTCAGGATAGGCACAACTAACAGACTTTCACAACAACGTTTGGGTTTGGTGACCCTACTGTATTCGCTTTTGTAAATATGTCAGCTTGCTGATGTCCGTACACACCCGCTATTAGCAAAAGTAAACCTATGCGTAAACGTCACGAAAATAGTATACTTTGTTTGTCCTGATGCACAGGCAGCTACCACAAAAACCCGCTCGATATCTCTAGCGTCTAAATCGTCTAGTTAAGCCCCGGTCGCTGCGGATGTGACTGTATTCATTTTACCAATGGTTTAAGAACGAAAATCCTTGGACCCGTGACAGTTGCGATATGCACCAGAAATAACTACCATGATAACTACTTCTGCTGTAACGCCGCAAGACATGTCTAATCTCTTATACTACAAGTTACCCAATTAACTCAGAGGACGGGCTGTGTCAGCAGACAAACAAGCGCACCAGAGATTTGCGTTTGATCGCAAACCATTTTTTCGTTCGCAACAAAGGTGGTATTGATCCGGCGGCTATTCACTGGGGTGACTAATCTCTTTTGGCCTTGAACCACTTATTGCATGTCTTCAACATTTTGACGAAGTATGTCACATCATTAGACAGTTCAGGTAAATGCTTCCCATAGTAATTGGCCTAGGAAAACGGTTTAGCAATTTTACGGTTTCCACGCATTCTCTGTTTTATCGGTCATGAGGGTCCGAACCTGTACTAGTGATTAACTACTAAGTAAATTCACTTAAGAATGGTGATTTCGACAGCTTTCGATATCCAGCCATTTTTTGGTTTTCGGAGGCGGGACAAACAGTGCACTTCTGAGTGTAATATTTTTCTAATAGACATCCTGAAGCTGTTCGCTGGATAAAACATATCATATGCACACTCTTTTCCAGGTTCTAATATGCCTTCCTGACGTAGATGTAATGCTGCATGCGGAAAATTGACCTTCGCAGGTGCATAAAAAAACCACCCGTCACTTGACTGAATTGACGGACGACGGCGGAGTGGATTTGTGATCGGCGAGCATCGATACGGAGCCGCGTGACTAAGCGATTCCCGGGATATCATCTGTACGTTCGGCGTATCTACATTACAATTGGACTAACATCGCCGTTGGCCTACGCACTGAGACTGTGCCTAGTCAATGAATAAAGAAAGGGGTCAAAATTTCAACCTCGTTTGATTACACCAAAATATAGTACAAAATAAAGAAAACAAACAAAAGATGGGATGCAAAAGCCTGGCAGTCACGGCTGCACACAACAAGGAAAGACATTCAGAGCTGTACACCAAGAGGGAAAATATCACAGAATCATTCGAGAATATCACCATGATTTGGCAGAAAACAGACAAGTTGGAACATCAGATGGTGATTGGCGCTGCACTGTTTGTAGACAAAATATATTCTTTAACTCTCTGCCACCGAGAAGGCGGTAGGCGTGGACCGATACATGTAAGGCTGCTGTGTGGTTCAGGGTAACCAGACGGTGGGGAAGTTAATGGAACGGGTACAGTACAAGAACCACCCTCAGCAGTCACCATATCGTCCCGACCATCCGGTTCAACGGGGGGCCAAAACAGATTGGCGATGTTAGTGAGGGCCTGGAGAGTTTTCGGAGTGACCCGAACAGTCGATAACCAGCGATCAGCTTTTCCACGTCCATCCGATTTCCTGTACAAGCCAGCAAATAGGGGTGGATGACCAGTAGATGACTCTGAGGCGTGTTCAAAGTCTTTTGCCATCAAGGTGAACAACTGGAAGGACCCAGTCTCGCGATCAGGAAGAAGTGAGCCAACCAAAAGCTGCAAAGAATGGAAAAAGACACCAAGCATGTTGGGTCGAACAGCGCCCGATGCACGAATAATAAATACTCGTACAACGACTATTCCAGATATTTCGAAATTCCGTGCTTTTTTATGTTAAGTCAACTCCGCACTTTTGAAAACAAACCGGCAAAATTCGAGATAACACGACGAAGATCCTAGAGAATTTAGAAGGAGATTGAGGATGTCAAACTAGAATGTTCTGAGGCTAGCAGCTCTTCGGGTTTCACATCTGAGTTTGAATACCATTTTAGCTACTTGTATCTTGATATCGAGTCATCAACTGACTTTCATCGAGTCACTTCAGGATTCCTATCGAGTTAAGATCTGAAAAACGCCAACACATCTCAAGAAGAGCAGAGGCAGAACTACTGAACAATTTCGCTCAACCAAAAGGTCTCAACCGAGTCAAAGGACACTGGATCATGACAATGTCAGGGCTGTAACACCGTTAGGGGAAAGGTGAGCCAAATTAATGTAGCCCCATTAAAGTGGTCTGGTCGAAAGAGACCGCTCGCATTTGAATCGTCCTCCACCTGCCCCGACAAAAAAATAGTCGTTCAACTGTAATACCCTTTCGGTGCCTAGCTACCATGCCACTCGAAGGAAGCACGAAGGCTGAGATACTGTCAGGTCGCCCAAGCCTGCACAGGAGCTGTCCAAATACGTAGGTTAGGTTCAAGCCATTGACCTTTTAGCTATAAAGTTTACGCCTTAATCACTGAGTTATCTCAGGCTCCGACAGGGTTATTCTGGTTAGTTTGTACAAAACCAGACCGGACTCGGATTTCACACTCATTATTGTAGTTCATCAGTGTGTGTATCCTAGATCTCGCCGGACAGCTAACAGTCTAATTCCATATTCGAGCCACGCAACCAACTTTCAAGAAGTGAACCAATGAAACACATCCATAAAAAAAGCGGCAACTCGACGTACCGGTACCTGGGCTGCACACACCCAAATTAACTCTCCGGTTTCACCCGTTTCTCTTCCATTTCGATTGGAGTAAGACTGACTGATCAGAGCCGGGGCGACCCACATTAGCTGTTTCCAAAGGTCATTACTATTCTCCAAATTCGACATGCCGTGAGAGCATTCTCCATGCCACATCACTTTCAAAGCGGCCAGCGCCCAGGAACGCAAAAGCAATGTGTCTGCAGCCAAGCATTGGGACAGACTTTCCACCGCGGAAGTCGTATAGGGGCTGTAGGGAAGTGCATTGCAGGGACAGAGACTCATCATTTAGACACGACAGAAAGCCGTCGGTGCTACCGAAAACTAGAAAGAATTACGTCCAAGATAACAGGCTGAATCGAAGCCATAAGAGTAACAGGCTAACATTTACCATTTGACTACGTACCCATTAGCTTGTCGCGTCACTGTGGAGGGATATCCCAACCGACTGGCCTGTAAAATACCTGTTCCTGCTTGTGCCACCAGTTCAGCGACGCCAGCCATTGGTTTCACAACAGCGCCAACTAACCCTCTCCCCAAACCACCGAGGGTGGCTAGGGCAAGATGGGAAGATTGGTGTAGTCCAGTGTTTTCGGTTAGCTCATCCCAAGGGTCGCTTGGAGACGGGGTGTTGTCAACTGCCTTAAATAAGGCTTGAAGTGGGTGGTCCGCCACACCGGCAATTGCACCTAGTACGCATAATCCGAAACCGCTCAACCCCCTCTGGAGCCCTTCACCAAGGCCACGAGGAACTTGTTTTCGACGAATTTCTTCTTGTCTCTGTTGGTGTTGTTGGTCCAGGGATAGGTGATCCAAATTGCGCGCCACACTCGCAGCCATACCGGTCACGGAGCGAATAAGACCACTGAAAAAAAACAATTGCGTGAATTATTGATTAGGCTTCAAAACAGTGATTGGGTGAATGGATGAAACGGGCAAGGCATAAAATTGACTTAGTCACTACTGCCAAGGAGCATGATAACCAGTGTGGTGAGCTGCTAGCTTGTAGATTGACATTTCATCATCATCATCATCATAATAACCGCGTACTCGTCGTACAGTGGTTGTAGCATTGTGTTTCACACCGTTGGGGGATGGGCTGATTTGTCGGTAATGCAACAACAGTATTGAGCTAGTTCTTATCGACCATTCAATAGCTCATAATATACTGACCTGCACATGGGCTTCCAGATGCCATGCTTGGTGTGAGCGCTCACATACATCATCATTAGCAAGATCTTTAGTCGCCTAAAAGGACGAGCAGCAAAAAGGAGTAAGAACACATTCAACTCACCCAGTGGTATGCCGGGTTAATGAAACGATCCCATTAGAGAATCGACGAAGCAGAGCGGCTCGTCGAATTGTTATTTGTCTCTGAAGATCGAGCTCCTCAGGCGATGAGCATGTGCCGTCAGAATTATTGTCAAGAAAAACATATTCTACATTGGTGCGTGGGTCCCCGTTTACCGTCATCGCACTGATTTCCGAGTCCGAGAGGAATCGATGAGATGTGGACACGACAGAAGATGGAGGATCCGTTTGTGATCGCAAATTCACAAGGGCATCCAATCCACAGAGTAGCGAATGCAACAAGCCACTAATATTTCCGAGTACATCCAGACTACCAACAAGCCAACCAGCACGGAACATAGCTTGGGTGAAATAGTGCACTCCAAGAAGGCGCCCTAAGGTTGAGATTGTCAGTGCAACGCCAACGGCCGACGTGGATGTCCTCTGCTTATTAAGATCAAACGGTGCGACGCTCAAAGGGGCTTCGTGACAGGACAAGTAAACGCGGAGCATTACTCTAAGGCTGACACGAAGATCGCATCGATCGACATAGAAATGTTGTAGAAACAGTCGCAATGGAGGTTGTGGTGTGATCGCTCTGCTCGACAGTTGGGGAGGATACAAACTCCAAACTCGTGTGAAAGATAAAATCAGTGCGTAAAGATCATACAGTAAGGAGTCTTCTAGAGACAGTTGAAGTTCTGGTGGAGCAAAGAATAGGTGACAAACTGGAGCAGATAATGTGTGTGATGATGTCCGGAAACGTCCACAAAAGCCAGCAGGACTGGTCGAACAAAAAACGGTCGGAAAGTCATAAGTACTGGTCCAAGTTTGACCCCAGTTGTCCAACTGGATATGTTCGGTGTACAAAACGGTATCTAATTGATTTATCTTGTGTTCTGAGAAGAAGAAGCACGAATCGATACTCAAATTTCGAAGTAGAAGGCGAACGAATTCGTCCTGAGGTGGAGCGAGTGAGCCGGAAAGGCAAAATCCACTAGTAACTGTGGGTGTATATCGTGGATCGGAAGGCCTCATGGAGTTCACAGGTTCAAAAACAAGTAGACTGACTTGCAGTTGTTTTAAACGGAGGCATAGAGAAAGTTCGAAAGAGCTGATTTCTGGAAGCATCGAAGGCGGCCGATCACTTGGGAAGATAAAAAGGCATGGACCTAAGGGAGAGTTGATTTGAATTGTCAGCTGTACGGTTACTGGTCCACCTCCAACTTGAGCCAGAAGACACGTGTGGTGAGCATCGCTTTCGATTAACGAAGCAAGTGGGATAAATACAAGGGAACCTGATGAGTGGCTGTCGGATTTACAGCCAAGGCTAATTGTGTAGTCTCTGAAAGTGGAAATATCGAATATCGGTAGAATTTGAGCAGGAACAGTGTTATCTTCTGTCTGAGACCGTTCAGTTGAGAACAGAGCATTCAGTATGTTGTTTGGTATCCATATTTGGGATCCTCCGAGTGACGGCAAATTCAGGAGTGGTTCTGGAGGAAAATAGGGGGCGCCGGTGTTCGTCGAATGATGTTGCGATGTGTGATTCACTGAGACCACTAGATCTACATTCGTCTGGTTCACCAGGCGCACTGCAACTGGGCTGTTCATATACTGGTTTGGTAAGTCATTCAACTGGACGACAACTTGACCGTCGCAGGATATGGACTGCACGACCACAATGAGATCATATTCTGAAGGTGGAAAAAAAGAGAATCCTTCTGAGTGCAATCAAAAAAGACTATTGAGAACAACTTCTGAGCGGGGAGTTGAAAAACACTCAACGTTAAATTGCAGGAATTCTGTGAAAAGTAGTAAACCAAATGGGAACAGGAGAGGGAGGGAACGCAATCAGGTCAACATAGGGTCTGGAGCGAACAAGCGGTCTAGGCGGCATGCTCATTGCGTGACAGGCCTCGAGCACATTCCCCTCAACGGACGGTACTACGGGTCTGCGCATACAATTTTCGTAACGTTTGCCGAGGTTTCAGTCGCTTAAAGCCACGTGGTCCAGCCGAGGCAGATGGCTCGACCGTAAACACACCAAAAATTTCCCAAAAATTAAGGAGCGACAGAGGAACACTTAAAAGAATCTTGTCGAATTCATTGAGAAACGCCATCGCGATTTTGATGATTCGTGATCTTGAAAAGTTTCCCATTTGAAACGACCTCTGTCAGTAGACCGCTAGATGCACAGTTCCGACACGGAAAACGCCAGTTTCGAGGAAATTATTTTCTAGTTGTTTCTAGTCATCGGCAGGCAGATGGTTCCCGTCAATCGAACGAACAACGACATTCGAGGCAAGGGAAGATGGCACTTAGTGGACATGTTTAGTCAAAAAGTGGGGTGGTTTTAGTAGCGAGTTTCGCGGTCGACACAAGGCATCCCAACACGACCACTAAGCTAGCATCATTGTCTTCATTGGACAGTCGAATCAGCACAGGCTTGTGCTCAGCAAAATATACCACTTTGTTTTAGGACGTTTGATTGTGCTTTCTGAAGAGCAAGTCCAAATGGCAACTTCCTACCTGCACAATCATGAAACTGTACCTGGTTTCGGGATTTGTAAAGCTTTTATGTACATCTCTCTCGTTTGAAAATCCTCCTGTCGTGGCACAACTGGACCAGTGAGTTCACACTAAAGAGAAAGCAACAGACCTGAGCATCACTCACATCGAACCATACCTTGGCTGTGCCAGGGTTTGAACTCCGGACATCTGACATGTGAGGTAAATAGGTTACCCCTACTGAACTAGCGCGCGCTAAGTGCACATGTACTACCACGTCCAAACAGGCGGATGCATTCACGGTTGAGAGATGCCTAACATCGCGAGTGCCAATCCAGTAACTAAGCTAGTTGTGTCAACCGACTGAACCGACCGTTAGGGCCAACCAGTCAAGTAGCAGCATGGGCGCTTGGAACTTGCTGTGCTTTGTGTACAACAACCATGAAAGTGATTTCATTGATGGGTCGGTGATGGGAAAAAATATCAATCGACCGGAGCAGCACAACGGTCAAGGGCTCAATATCTCGAAATGGGAAAACTGTGACAACGGAAACTTCATGGTACCGCTCCCGGATGTGTTCCTGGTGAATCGTGATGAATACATTCACTGAACAGAATGAACACCGAAAGATGTCAGCATTCTCAGACCGTTCGAAATCAGAGGAAAGGAAAGTTGAAGCTGTTGCGGAATCTGAACAATGCGGCGAATTCTAATTCGACAAAGCTTACTGGAACACAATTTCACAAAGTGATTGGGTTGCCAAAAACCAATTAGTCTGAGTGCAGCTCAGTACACCATGAGATCGCAGAATGATTTAATGGAGCAGTTGGTATCCAACTGAAGGACCACTGCAAGAGCTATGAGTTGGTTTTCCACTTAAACCCTGACCAAAGAGAAAGGAATGTCTGCAGTAGCACTTCACATGGGTCTCTGGCTCGTCTACTGTGTCCAACCTACAATACCATGGCCCGAACTCTAGTATATACAACAAGCTGTTTTGATTAGACGGCCTAGATACAGGAAGCCTCCTTGGGTCGACATAGGCGAGTATATTTGTGTCCCCTCCACCGGAGGCATGTATATGACATCATTCTTGAGGCCTGCAATGCGAAACGGATAAAAAATTGCCAAACAACTAAGGATGTGCAGTATAGTGTAATATGACGACATAGGGCTTTCACAAAGACTAAAGAACAAGGTGGGACGGTTTCTATATAAACGGGACAGTAGTTTAGATACGATGATTCTGTGATAACTAAGTAAAAAGAAGTGAGAGAATCTCCTTTGAGAGAACCAGGCAAGCAAAGGATAAGCTGACGATTTCACTGGATGAAAATGGCCGACCGGACTGGTCAACCGGAAAGCACAGAAAAATACCCTCTCACCAAGCAAAGCGATATATTCTGCTGAGGACAAACTTCTGTCTGCCTGGTTGTCTTATACATCAATGAAGATATCAGTTTAGTAGTGACAGAACACTTGGATCGATCGGGGAGGGAGTTTGACGTTGCCGTTGCTGCACTTTATCAAGCAAAACATCCCAAAACTGTCCATCAAAGTCCGACTGCCTCAACCTCACATCTCTCAGTGGTAATCAACATGCAGCGCTGTCCACACCGATGTGATAAAACGTCCACTGACAGGCCCAATGCACGAACACTCCCTTTTAGACCGGTACATTGTGCAGTAAACAAACACTCTGGGCTGACCGTTTGCCTTCAGCATTGCGCTAAAAGATGTGTGCCTTTGAACACCACCACACATGCTGTGTAGAAATTCGTTTGTACTAAGTTATCACTTTCGAGACAACATGGCGAAATTTTACTAACATTGGGCTTAAAGATTCAATTTGTGATCATGTATCACATTTACCCCCAACAGGTAGCTGATAAGATGAAGCGAAATATCTTCGGATAAAGTAAGTGCAATCTGCTAATCCTTAACTGTCTTTTTGAGTTCTGTAGGTAACAAACAAAGTAAAACCGCTCAATCGCCTGTCCGGATGTGCGCTGGTGGAGTAGTGGCAACACGCTCGTCTCGCATGTCCACGGTCTCAACCCTCTGCACGGCTCTAACATGAGCCAAACTCGGGTACAATGCCTTCCTCTTTGGTGTGGACTCGCCAGAATAATTGCGTTAGGAGAGGAGGAGGACCGTTCAGGGTAAAATCCTAATTATTCTCTATCCAGCTTCCACAGCTTACCCATAGTTAGCAGATTTCTTGCGACAGCGCAATGAATAAGGTACAACTAATGACTGGAATACCAGTAACCTGAGCTAACTCCTCAGTATTGCAGCTCTTATGTTATCTCCTGGGTTTCACCGAGAGACTGTCGGGGGCGAAACATCTTACCACGTTTGCCTTAGGTGTTAGTGGCCCATTTGCTTGCAAGCCGCGATGACACAATTGGGGCTAACTGAGGTGAACCTATGAACAACAACTCAGTCAGTATTCGAGAAAAAAAACATGGGCACTGTCTTAGGATTGTGCGAAAACGCGGTAACAAAACTCATATCACAAAGAAAACGACATGCTACGAAAGAAACGGAGCGGAACAGCTTGCCCGAATAGGTCTACACGAGCCACCTACCTCTGTTCTCCATGTCAGTTCCTGTCGTAGGTAAGTAGAGCATCTGAGGATCAATATGTTGCGTAGAATTAGACGACTTGGTTCCACCGGGCAATACATTGGGAATCTCACAAAAAACCCCTTTGGTTTTTGAAGAACCAATCCAAAGTGCAAACTTATGTTGAATGACGCTCTCTGGTCCGTTGGTCATTGAACACGAGAGAGTCCAATAAGGCAAGGGGAAAAGATTGCCGGTGGGCCGGAGACCAGTTTGATTCACCAAAGTGTTTGACAAAACCTGAGAAAAGCAGGAAGGTGGTGGGGGGAAATGGGTAGGTCAACAGAGAATAGGTTAGAGTACACTGCGCACAGTTGTTATACGCGAGGTAATCATCTAGGTAGGGGAGGCTGTTTCTGGCCTAGTCGTGGAATAGACCCAAAGGGAATTCGTCTAACGAATGCGTGATGCTTGGAGAACGCTGTAGCCCCGTTAATAGTTGCTCCTCCTAATAGTTCACAACAACGTTCCTCGTCAACCACAACCGTACGAGGCCCTGGAGACAAAACACTCCTTACCACGTGGAGGTCCTGGCTTGAGGCTCCTTGTGGTGGAATTGGAGCAATGAAATTAGGCGAAAATGAACGGATTTACCTGACCTAATGAAAACAAAGATGCTTCGGAGAAAGAATGGCAACGACACTCACCAGTTCTTCATCGTAAGTCGATTGGCGTTCACCAGATAGCACTATAGGTCTGACATACAGGTCAGGAGCGCAGCGATGATGAATACGAACCTGGCTTTCCACTATGAGTATAAATCCTTTTTCTTTGATCAACCTGGCAAGGAGACACAAGAGAATGCGGTCGGAAAAAATCGTGAATCGCATCCGTCCGCCTTCGCTTTCAGTACGCACAGTGACCATGGAATTGCTATGTTCGACAGTTTCCACTGCGGTACGCGGACATTCCAGTGTGTCAGTGTCACGGCATTCAATCAGAACGTTTTGCGCCTTGACTCGTTCTGCGGTACCGTCAGTCTGAATGTTCGGAAATTCCGCCAAACTGTCAAGCATTGGAGAATCCACGAGAACTGGTGAGAGTTGGAATGTGACGTTGGACCAGTGGGCTTCCGCCTTGACAACAAAGCCAAACTGGACTATGGGCTGAGTAAGGAAAAATAATATCAGCCTGGATAGCGAAACGAACCTATTACTTTGGAGAATAAACATGAATTACCGATCGATAATCTTCCCTTTGGGCTGAACCCGATCTTAGGGGACAACTAACCGATTGGCGAAAAGATTGTCAAGCACTCTGACAAAAACACGAAATATCAACAATGCGAAACTCTTGGATCAACTAGCATTGAGCAACCCCCGTAGGAGTTAGCACAGTGGATAGCGCCTGTTTGTATCCTACAGTGTTTGTACTCATAAGTAATCCCCGCATTGGTTACCAAGGGTAACCAAGAAACAAAGAATCCGAGCATGGGAAACCAGTCAATCACGAAACTCAAGCGAGATGAATTCAACGGATCAACCCTAGGATAGAACGCCTTAAAATTCCATACACCAATGAGGCGATCTGTCATTGCACGGTCGAAGATGCTATCGTGAATGGAAGACGATGCAATATTGCCTATAACCTCACATAAATTAGATGGGCAATCGCCTCGAGATGGGTACGAATCCGTTATCTACACTATTATAAGTTTAAGGAAACAAAGTACACGTCGGACCCCATTCACGACAAAACGGCCCGGAAATCAAACAGGTTTAAGAGTGATGTACACAATGATTCAGTATGGTAAGCAATTGATGTTCGCGTAGAATCGGTCGTCTTTTGTCTGTTTATCAACAACGAAAATCAAGGACAGTAGAAAGTTTTAATCTCCCGAACTGTCACACCACGGTTGGGGGTCCATTGTAGAAGTGTAAAGAATGGCCTGGAATTTATACAAGTGAAGAACTGTTAGAAGATTCCACAAATTAGTGCGTCATCAAACGAGGTCACCCAAACACAACAAACTGACATAATATCTAAATGCCCAACAACCTTTGGCGTGAAAAAAAAGGTCCAAATTCTCATACCTTGTCTGATCCTGGTGATATCACAGAACCAGTGGGAAATTCATGAACTTCTGTCGAGTGTCCCTTAGGGTTTGAGAGGAATCGGACGCACAAATCGGCGCCTTGCCCAACAACTTTGGCGTGAAAAAAAAACGGTCCAAATTCTCATACCTTGTCTGATCCTGGTGATATCACAGAACCAGTGGGAAATTCATGAACTTCTGTCGAGTGTCCCTTAGGGTTTGAGAGGAATCGGACGCACAAATCGGCGCCTGATTGGTTAAACAATCTGAGCCTCGGATGCAAGATTATCTGTAGTGTGTAACTAGCGGTATCCAGTTCAGAGGCGACGAAAAGAGTGGACCTGGGTCGGTATAAGGGGTAGCGATGATTAAGCGTGTAAACCACTGGGTGCGAAGGTTTGTGATAATGGTGCTCTATTTCGGAGCCGTTTAACATCATGGAACCGGTCGGCACGGTAGCACTGATAAAAGATGTAGCCAGTTTGGTCAACAGGTTGTCCGGGGAGAGATGGATAGGTTCCGAAAGAAGCGAGATTCCATTGCTGTAGGGTAGAAAACGACGATGGGACATCGGTTGTGATATCTTGAAATTTCAACGGCTTCAAACAGTCGTGTAACCTAAAAGAGATTTATTCAATCACTAAAAATCGTAAGCGGTCAGATTCAGTTTGCGATAAGACCACTGCTCGACTATAAAAACAATTGTTGTTCAGTGTGTAAAGCGTAGGCAGTCACGAAATTCGCGCTGGTGATGTCAACGCAAGTATTCTAGGACCACTGCTGTTGATACTGTTTCCCTTATAAGATGAGATCCACATCACCCTATCTGTGCTTGGCTAAAAACACCGAAAGATATGGCAACTAACCTATGTCACTGGCGTTCATGGCGCCAGTTTCTATTCAGACTGTCTGAGTGTTCGGGGCACAGACACCTCGGATGTTTGCGATAAGTTAGCCCTAGGTCGCCATCCCTCTCCTATTTCTTCCCTCCTTCCATTATACGTCCGTAATCAAATAAAACGAAGCAGTGAAGCACCGGTGTTGCAATTAGTGATAATAATAATCAAAGAAAAAAGTGCAGAGCTGATGTGGAAGCAACTAAGAATTTTCGATGATGGTCTTGCTTACCGCAGAATGACTACTATTGAGGTTCCTGTGCTTTAATACGGAACAGTCTACTGTTAGGTACCACATCCAGAAGTGCTTGTCAAAATCGGACTTTATTTTCCACTGAGGCTATCATTATTCTTGATAATACTGAAGTCGACAAGTATCTAGGCCAGTGACTGGGACGAGGGCTCTAAATGGCAAACAAATTAAAACGCGAAATTCTGAATGGCAGGTCACTGAGCCGATCGGTTCCATACAAGTTCCATAAAACCGATACTCCCAGTCCTTGCACGTTCCGAGGCTTGCATGACCGCTACGGACTCAAAGAAAATGCCTGCTGAAACATATGGTTGATTTATATCGTGAGCAGGGAGATGGACGATTATTTTGCACTCACCCGGGCGGTCGACCAAACCTACCGTTTGCAAAATAAAGTGTCTTACGAAAATCTACACTAAGACTATGAAAGCGTCTCACTTACGGCAAGTACGCATTCAACAACAGAGCGGGCGCCTTTCCCAGGAAGAATGGTGACGAAACGGTCTTCGGCAGCTCAATTTTCTCAGTCTGTGGTGGACGAGACGGATAGGATGGGGGCAAGATCTGGTGCATCCATGGCGGCTTGATATCTGATAGTAGTTCCGGTGTATTATCTGCCGTCGAAGTGTAGGGATACACTGGTCGGACGCAAAGGTTGAACGAATGTGGCAGAAAGCTGACAATATTAAAAGACGGTGATATTGTGACCTGGAAGAGACGTAATACAGAAAGAAGTGTCGGGGGTGACAATTCGCACAGAACAAAAATATTGTTAGATAACAGTCTGCGACTACCGGGCCAGTTGGGCCGAATTCCCGGACGCAACATTGCTACTCAAAGTTATCTCCCGGGTGACGACTAGGATTGGGTCTAAACGGGTACTTTGCAACACGCCCAATGACATTCTAAGGATCATTCTGTTGCAAAAATCTTTACTTACAAAATTTTATGGACACTAAGGATGACTCCGTGTGTTTAAGGGACCTTTTGTTAGTTATTCGCGTGGGCGCAGCGGTAACACGACGTACTGTAACACTCAGCCCGCTTCACCAAATACCTCAGCACTATAGTTAATAATATATCCAATGCATCCAAAGTGTAACACCCCATTATTATCTAGGAAGAGTACTGGTGTCACAATAAACAACCCGCATCAACAAGTATTGTCTAGTTCTCCGGAGTTGGAGCTGTGTGGTGAAATCTCCTCTGTGGGTAACCAAAGCCATTCTCCCCTGTTGAACGGACATCATTTAATTGGGATGAAATGAAAGGTAAGCAGTGTTAGCGCTGATATTTGGTTTTCGGGGTTGGGGATAAACGCAGAAAAGTGGTGTCGCTGTTTATAGAGATTGACGGTTTTTGAAAAGCTGTTCCATCACGTGCGTTTAACGATAACGAATGGCAGCAGAATTGAAGCAGATTAAACCGAAGCACAGAAGTGAGTATCGATCGGAGAACCGGTTGGTTACGGCAATCGAAGAGTGCTTCTTAGACAGCTTTAGAGCTACTGGTTTGACAGGGCAATATCCATAGGTTTGTGACATGTCACTGTGCCCAATCAAGTCTTTGTTCCAGTAACAAGATGAGGCAATCCAAGTGAACGGTTGAGAAACTAGTTTGAACACTAGATGTTTACAGAAGTTTTGAACTTACCATACACATAAGTGGAGCAAACGGACTGATCACCAGGGACTCCACAGTAACCACGGCATAGAACAAGTCCGATCCATCCTCACGGTCGATTGGAATGCCTACCTGCGCGCGCCAAGATGTCACAACAGAGAACGGGTATGAGTAGTTGAAAAGTCAAAGACACAACTACGCGTTGATATTCGGGCCTAACGTTCTTTTGAATCATCCACCACTACACAATGGTTTTGGAGTCAGGTAACGCTCCACTGCAAACAACCGTCTAGTTAAACAACGATGAAAAGCACCAGCTGACAATAATATTGCTGTAAGAAAAAGTCTATCGTTATGTAGGAGCCCTCTTGAAATCAAGCTTCGGCAAGACAGTTACCGTACCAGGTCGAAACATGCAAGACAAACAAGTCTCTCGCTAAAGCGAGACGTTTAACGTTCATACCTGTGAAAGGAAAAAGGCCTTCGCTGCGGGGTTATTTGTTAGAAAGTGCCAACTGAACAGTTACAGACTATTGGGCAAGGAAGCAAAACTTTCATATGCATCTTGTTTACAATAACTGAATATCCATCTTCTCCTTGAACGCGTCTTCCTCAACATTCCTGGATATTCATTGACTGTTGCTCAAGTCCAAGCAAATGCTACAAAGCGACTCCACAAATCCCGTAGGAGATCTCACTTTTCAAGAGACGCAAAGCGGATTTACGAGGAAGCATACTACTCGCATGACCCCAGTTAGTAGTATAACCGTCACATTTGCAGTGTGTACCAACATGGTCCAGAAATTAGTGAGATCCTGGACTCTAAGAACATAGCAATGCATCAGAATCAATAAAAGTTATTCGAACTTCCCAAGAGCCGAATATGCATGGATCAAACGGAATATCAATGAAACAGTGTAACAGACAACGGCACTCACAAGGCTTCGTTGACTGATACGACGCCGAGAGTTACGTGAAGGGAATGGAATATGACAAAACACGCTCGGTTCGGACCACCGGCCTTTAGAGTCGACCCGATGTTCACTTTGGGAGGTGGAAAGGCGGAAAGTATGGAGAAGCTTAGACAGCCTAGAACAAGCTGCCGAACTGGAACTGCATACGTAATTTTCTGATGGACCCTGAGTGAGTTGGAATGTCTTCACGGGCTCTACACGATCAAGGGGGATTTCTTTCGGATGTACGGATGGGACGGAGTCCACTGGCAACGGTTCCGACGATAATTGAGCACGGATATCGACAGGAATGAGATTACGGAAAACGATATCTGAGTGAAAGATAATCTGTGGTGCGGTAAGGAACAGAAGAAATGTTGTCAAGAGCAAACGGTTAGAAGAAGTATGGAAAGTGATTGGATAAGTAACTGGACTTGGTGGCATTTGATTTGATGCGTGGTAAGACATGATGCTGATACTCTCGTGGAAAAGACAGAATCAACATAAAAACAGGGATAATTTGAAAGTTAACACCACAAAGCAGGCGTACCGCTTAACATTTTGACGTGCATTAACCCGGACTGAGCGTGAATGGACGGATAACGTTTGCAAGTGGATCGTGCGCCAAGGATAACCAACCTTTCGACAATTTAGTGCAATTTCGGGGTCCATTATCAAACTAGCATTACATTAAGGCATGAACACATAACTATGAAAAGTGTTCAGCAACCAAGTAAGCTGGAAGCTAATGTAAGTATGGTTTGAAAAGGACCTGCAGGTGACCATTCAGTGTGGTCCAGGGGAACGGTGAGTAGGACCTAAGATGTGCAACGTGGGATACGAAGTTGGATTGGGCAAAGGTAAAGAGACTGGGAGATTTTAGTTTGTTCTAAGATCAATAGTGACTAAGTTCCACTTAGAATATAGCATCATCCACCCGGCTCCGCTACTTAAATGGAAAACTCAGGCGACCTGCGACGTATTTTCCTCCCTGATGAGATTGCTTATGAGTTGATCGTAGAGTACAGAGACTTCGAAACTCCAATGGTTTGGTCAGGCTACGTTGAACAGCCCAGAAACACTGTTCCATCCAACTATGTGTATCTGTCGAATCTCTAGGGGATTCGATCTTATCTCAGTGCGAGTCAACCACAATCCTGATCAGGCACTCGTGGACGCCGGGGCGGTTAGTTCGACTCACCCAATAGATTTTTAGGTATGTGATGCTGGTGATTCCCAAACAGAATGAAACAGCTGAACAGGGTTTCTCGACTGTCTAGCGTAGAGCATGAGCCTTCTGTTTGAGAAGCCGTCACTCAAGAAGCCGATCAACACTTGACCATTGCGTGATTAAAGGATGAGTGACGTTATATCCCACGTGTGATTTCACCTGTTGATCAACCACTGTTGAAGAACAGCATGGTCCACAAGTTCTACCCTAGGGACCGAACCATAGATTAGTGAATGGTAACTACGCGTCCTTGGTGATGTTGGCGAAAGATAGACAACGGTCTACTCGACAGTCCCACCATTGACGTCAATTGATCTTATCCTCCAATAATTTGTGGGACAACAGCTTCCTGTCAGTGGCCGGGATAATCCAGTTGGAACTACCAAAAACTTGTTTCTTCAGTGGAAATACGATGTGCTTCTAGTCCACAACCACAAGTAGCCTGTGTCTAACCGAAATGAGTATACGGCAAACGTAAACGTCACTGCGACAAGCTACCGCGGATGTCTTTCGGTCACTATGGTGTACATGGCCCTTGTTTGGGTTAGCACACTAAGCAACGAAGCTAATTACAAAAGTGAACAAGAACGGTGATCGTTTTGAAAGCTAATGAACTATGTATCCAATCGGCATTGTTTGAATGCCTCACATGTTAAGGCTTCATAGGACCTAATTACAATCTTGGTACTACATCAGTACCCCATGTAAAAGCAGACGAGGGGGGATAAAGCACCGTACCCTGCCAGGAAAACCAGTGGGATCGGGCTGCTCCAGGATCAGAAACATATTCGGGTAGGAGGACCGCGGTCTCTTGCTGAAAGACGACTCCCAGGACAAAGTTAGGACGAGATAGCCATTACTTCCATGCTGCGAATCAGCTCGACATGGAGGCCAGGCTAGTTCCACTGCTTCCGACCAGACAGCGTTTTCCGCGTTAGCCTACAAAGGAGTAGGAAAAACGTCGATGAAAACGCGTCATTACACAAAAATATAGATGATTTATAGACCAGTTCTCCGCGAGGGTACTTGGACGACAGACTCTGAGGTGCAATCCGTCCTATCCACACAAGATTACGTAACCCTAAGTGAAATTGTGCGCATCAATATACAATCACTGGGGACACTTACGTGGACCGAATGAGTTCCAACGTGAAAGCGGATACGACCGGACGCAACAGGTTGCGCGGCAGAGGCAGGAAGCGGTAATGGACGCCAAGTTTCTGTTGCAGCAGGGCAGATCACAAATAGCAGGAGTGCGTCGAGCCCACTGTTTCCCCTCGCTAAAAGAGGATGATCCGGCAGATCTGACGTGCGACTTTGTAGTCCCGTTTGCCTAAGAATGACTATCTGTAAAAGATTATATGTAACGCCCAGAATTAAACACAACTACTCGGACAATCAATAGACCAAACTCATTGTGCCCATGTCAACGCATAAAAAACCCAGGACATATGAATATAACTACTGAGGAATTCAGAAACGTTGGTCACCGGAGGAATATAGAGGGGTGGTACAGTTTCCTGGATAGTTGGAAAAGCTTGTTCTCCTTCACTAACTTTAGCTTCGAAACTTTGCGGATGGGACAGGAAAATAATGTAAGACTTAGTAGTCCGGACTATTTGAGCCAGAAAAAGTAAACTACGACGCTTTGCACGCAGGGTGCCTTCTGAAGATCACTGTAGATCAAATCACACACAAGGGTGATTTTAACTCCGATTTTTTAAACGTGTGCAATAGTTCATATTTTCTGCTACCATTGGGTGTACAAGGAGATATAAAGTAATTGAACAATTCTGTGCAGGATAGAGCTCCAACGATATAACGAGAGAGGAAAAATTCTCGGAAATCATTTCGATGACATTTACTCATCGCACCTCCTGGTCAAAACGTGTCGATCAAGTTCATTAGAAGGAAGGCAAAGCACAGTGATCATTCTAAGGAACTAGGGATTACCACCCAACCGTTCACAATTCGAAAAAAGCCGAAAATCTCAGTTTCATGCCGTTTTTAGTAGGGAGAAATAATAGAAGTAGAGAGGTTAACAGTCCGGTCTGTGTGGCAACTTATCGGCACAAATCGAATGCAAGAAAACCACACTGACAAGTGGACTTACTTGATCAGAATAGTTGGCGACTCGCCAGCCCAAGCCGATGTGAGGAGTACCGATTGGCAGGGAACACGAGGAACGTAGGGTGTTCGCAGTGTGTGTAAGAAATGAGGTCAGATAGCTGAGGGAGGTGAGACGGTCGACTCCCAGAAGGATATGTATATCACACAAATTTAGTTTGACATCGCACCGGTTTGTATCGGAAATACGGGTGACGATGGAATCGAATTCGCGCACGTGAGCCGCTGGCTTGAGTTTCGCCCAGTGGGGATCGGCGAGCAAGCAGTGCCCCGATGTGAACCTACAGCCATAGTGATATGCTGACTGAACAATGGAGTTCCTTCCAGTAAGTTCATGAGACACCTTGAGGTTTTCCAGCTCTAAACGAGCTAATTCCAGACAGTCAGAAAATCCTTGACGACAGTTTTCGCTCTACGGAAAAAAGAGGTAGTGGTGGGATTAAATGACTGCTATTCGGGCAACTCCCATTAATTCATTGTCCAAGACCGATTCAAATCTAATTATTGCATAGCACTCAGGTATTCTTTGGGTGAGGCACCAAGACTGAAGCTGCTCCGTCACGCTGGTCTGGGTAGGACCAAACGATGAATAAAAGTCGGGTTCGAAACAAGGACATTTTAGGGGAAGAGAGTGGAACTTCACTCGTAGGAAATAAGTTTTGCAGTTTCACTCGCGACCCTAGTCGGGGGAAAATGTTATGGGAACCATCGCTGGTTCTCGAGGAGGAACTGAAGCCGACTTAACCGCAGCGGTGGAGACACCCGGGTGGTCGAGTGGACGGGACCGTGGATGGGACTACCGTTTCAAAGACCCGGGTTCAATCCACAGACGGAGGCCTTCAAATTGGCTGTCTGCCTACGTCCTGATAACCTGTACACAAACTGTTTTAGAAATAAAGACGTAAAAAAATAGAATGTACACTTTAAACCATGTCCGTGATAAGAGTTACTGACTGGTTGTCATGTTGGACAACTGAATTCATAAGCCTTTGCCATTAACCAGCGATATTCATGGGTCGCACTTGAGCGAACTAATCGAGACTAGTTGGTAAGTTCATCTGGAATGTCAGGACCCTTGGTAATGTCATAGGCATCGCGGTAAACGAGGACGGGAGAAAAATACCACCCAATCATCACACTGTCTGCTAATCCAAAAGCCGAAGTACAAACTTTTTTTTAAAAAAAAGCAGTTATTTGCATTACATAATAGGTACAGTAAGCAGCAATAGTGATATGGACTTTCTACATTTCAAAAGGGGAGGCATTAAAAAGAACTCGTTGGGGCGCCAAGCATCAACCACAGAACGTCGCAGAATACGAAACAACTGGAGCCACAAGTGATGTCAGATTAGATAATTGTTAATTTGGCAAACGGTATGCAACTCACTTGCCGAAACAGGCCAATTCGCACGTACGGAGAATAAAAAATCCCCATCGATGGCATCTGCGGAACTGTGGGAGCCTGACGCACCGAGTCCAGTTCAACGCATCCAGCAAGAACCAATGGAGAAATGTAAACCAAGGCAGCAGTAATCGGTGGTGTGGAGGTGCTCGCACTGTGACCATTGCTAAATGGGAGGAAAGCGAGGGGACACGATTACACAGATAAAGGGTCTGTATGAATTGGTTTGATACTATCCATTGATAAAACCCATGGGAAGGAAAGGGGGCTTCACAAAGCGCCGATGGTTTGATTGACTGATTCTGTAATACGATGTTCCATGAAGTCATTTGGGTTAGATCAACGTACTGGTGTAAAGTGCGGACAAAAGCACTGGACGATAAGCAGTTATGTTTCAGTATAGGAAACGAGTCTCCTCACGAGTAAAGTTGTGAACACATCTCTCACCAAGGGAGTAAGCAATGCTGTTCCCCGTCAGCCGCAACCTAGTGAGCAATCCTTCGGAAAAGAGCGACTCCAATGGTCGTCCCTTTTCGAGTGGCGGTCCCTTCTGAAAGGATTTCTGTAAAGCTATGTAGCTAAGTTTTAATTCCGACTACCCTTTGAAATACTAATCCTAGACTCATTAACTCGGAGTTGCTCGCAAAAAGGCCGCTACTTGTGTAATAATAATCCAATGGTTAGTATCGATCTACTATTTGGAGAGGGGTATGAACGGTTAACTCAGTTGCACAATGAATTTGCTGAATCAAAAAAAAGTTACCGGAAAAAGTGAAACAAAACAAAACGGACAGCATGGGCCAAATCATGTCAACAAAGTGAGACAACGGTAGAGACAACAACAGCAGCTACAGATGAAAACCTTATTAACCAAACTCATTGTGAAATAAAGGACAGCATACCCTTGTGCTCTGAGGACCACAGGCTGAGCTCGCAAATCGACCATTATTCGCCAAACATGAGCCGACACTCTGATGCCGCCATTCGTGGCACGCAGCTTCGATCTTTTGAAAGTGAAATCACCCGTTTTAAGGGATGCAGGTGTTCGGTTCTTTTGAATGGCTTCATCAAGGATAGAAGAAACTCGTTGCCGCATATTGGAATCTTCTTGAGTTACGGAAGCAGAAGCCGCCGAATCATCTCTTCTGACTTCAGCAATCCGTTTGTTGAGTAACAAAAAGTCCACCACCTGACTGTCGCGAAGGAAGAACGTCCCGTAGTCTTTGAACTTTCCATTGGGCATAACCGAGTAGTCCCAGTATTGTAAATGGCAACGTAGCTGGGTCAAGGAGTGACATGAACAGAAGGTTTCAAAATAAAATGAAATACCGATCCTTACGATTAAGACAAACGATAAATTCACGGGTATTATATGTTCAGTTTAGATGAATTGTCTTAACTACAGGGCAACCCGAAATCATGTCACTGATGTTTGGTTACCATTAGTATGTCCGGAACATGGTGTTATTGGACTCATCTGTTAAAATGTATCCACTGAGGTTTGCAAATCACCAGCCTCGACTGTGGACTAGGAAGGTGTCAGAAGTAAAGTGCCGTCGTTATACGCACCAAACCACGTAACTTCTGAACTTGGAAGTTAGCTCACCAATCGTGCAGATAACAGGTCCGCTTTTCGCAGAAATGCGGGGTTGAACGCTCTTGTGGTATCGCTTCAATGTGACACGCTGGTTGCTTTAGAACTGTCCACCTGATTTTACTTCTTAGGGTGAACACCAATTGGGGACATGAAACCAGTAGGCTTTGTGGGATGAGTCGAATAGCTCAGAATGACAAAAAGGTCACTGAAATGGGCATCGGTCCACTGCGTGGTGGATTAGGATCCACTAAGATAGAGCATTTAAAAGTTAAAAAAATTACTGGATAGGACAACAGTGGTAAAGCAGACACGAAAGCTCTGCTTTCCTTCAGGCCACATTCTAAAAAAGGCAGATTTTTACGAGCTCTAACACGCTGACAAGTGTACTGCTTCATTGGAATTTGGGAGATCCAGAGATTTGATTGCCACATTCACCTGAGTTGCCGGATTTAGGGGCATCTCGTCGAAAATAGCTAGGTTAAGACGATGGTTTTTCGCTGATACAATGACAACCGCTACTAAGGAATCGGGTCCGAGAATAGGGCAAGGAGAACAATCAATCGGCTAAAAAACGAACGTTTCCGAATACAAAAAATTCCCGAATTTATTTGAAGAAACGACTGAGGAGAAAGGGCCTGGACCGCAGTTGATGTACAATGCCGGAAAAGACTGCCTGTAGCACAAAATTTCAGCCGTTTCATCAGTTATTTTAGCAGACTGAACAAACAATGAGTTCAGTAACGCAGCAGATACGGTCTAATAACGTGGCTTAAGATGGGGAACTTAGGTGATGATCGGCTTCTTAGAGCCAACTGACTCACCATTGCTCCGACGTTTTCCTCGTACGTTAAACGCACTGGCTAAGCTATCCGAATTCGGTGTTCTAGGTAAATTGACTCATCCTGCAACCCCGCGTTGGAAGTGGCATAAAGGGAAGAGTTTTTATTATACGATTGACACAGAAAGGGCAAATTGATGAAAACTGAAGCAATAGTACTACGAAAACTAGTGAAGTGGATTATATCACTCGGCCGAGTAATCAGTCAATCAGTAAGGAACGACAGTGATCAAATATCAGGATCGAGAGGAAAAGTGTTACCTCGAGTCCATGAGAATATGGCACGTTCGCCAGGTGTTCCAGAAACTCGAAAGGCGCTGGCAGCACGCGTACGCGCACGGGAGTTCTTGGATCGGAGTAAGCCCACGTCACACCAACCCAATGAGGGTCTACGGGACGGTTGCAATTTAGTACGATTGGATATGTATGCCCGTCGAAATGATATTGGCGCTGCATGTTGTCACAAAAGACAACCTCACCAGCCAAGGGCCATGGGTGAGGGCAGAGTGGAGATTGATCTAGATCGACTGAGTTCACCACCCAAGGCCAACAAGGATGAAGCGGACCAAGCTGGACGGGATTTGAAGACTTAAGATTTCTGTCGTCAGAGGAAGCTTGCACCGGTAGTCCTCTGCGCAAGTCATCGTGAAAGAGAAATGGTTGCATACCGGCGCACTGATCACAAAACGGAAAAAGGTCCTTATTTGAAAGAGAGGGACTGGATGTCGAAGGAAGCGGAAAAACGGCAGAGAAATCCGTTAGCAACTGGGTGATCATGGAGAACACAGGGCCGCATATAGGGATGTCCACGTTCACACCTGTTCCAGTAGTGAAAAGACATTCAGTCTCTAGAATAAATCGGGAAGGACGCGATGGTGTTAAGTGGATACAGGAGACGACCCGAACAGCACCAGCACAATGTAGGTTAGTGCCTGGCCAAAGTAGGGACAAGTGATGGTTGACGCACTCGGAGGCCAGAGACGCTGATGATCCGGACAGGCCTAATGGAGACTGTTGTCTGTTGTAGGAACAGCAACTGAGGTGCAATCCATTCAGATCAACGCGCCACCTCGCGCAGTCCGAAAAACCTTCTGAAGGAGTGAAAGTCGAGTTCAGGTGGGTTTTGCGGATGTTTAACTCAATATTACCAGCTTGGTTGCAGTTGGTTTTCTCTAGAAGGATCTGAAAAATAGCAAAAGCGGGAGAGGAAAACTGAGCAACGAGCTTGATAGTTCGGTCAATTCACGTCGCTCAACTACAAATCGTAGGCGATCTGTGCCATAGAATGAAGGAAGCAAACACAATATAATCCAAAACAATTAAAAGACGCCCTTCCAACAAAAATATGACAATTTTTGGCAGTTAAAAAGAATAAAATAGGCGTAGAAAACAGTAATTGAGCGTAGGAACGCATCGTGAAGGATATTCAACCGTGGCAAGCATCTAGTTACCATGAGCACCATCTGGAGCATGCAGCTTGAAACTTTGTCCATATATAAAAACATCATAGATGTCAGATCCAAAGCACAGAATACTGTCGGGGGAATCTTGTGTCTAGTTTGACACCATCATTAGTTCATACGTACGACAATAACAGCTACGAGACATATGGCAAACAGCCTAATCCGGGACAACACCATTGTTTTGGTGCAGCTAACACGCCTAAGATGCCTTGCAGACCAATAAAGACGTTCCAGTTGTAGAAACACCTTTCTTGATGCATAATACGGTAGACTACCTAATCTCCGGAATTCGGGAGTGTCAGAAGTGTACTTCATGTAGGAAGGGAGTTATATTCGAATTTGTAGGCGAAACGGTGATGATATGGGACTCAAGTGAGGCGCTTGTCTACAGCATTTTTCCCCTAATGTGGTGCGCAAAATTTCCGTTGAATCGAACCACACGACACTGAACCAACAATCCGCCATTATTAAGGGAAAAGAGCAACTACTATTTAGAGTAATGAGGCTAGGAGATTTGGTTTAAAGCCAAAACGGATTACCACTAACAATAGACTAACCTGAGCGTTGTTCGACAGTCATTGTTATTGTCCTCTGCAGCTGTATTAGAGCGCGTGACGCCTACGTTTTTGGGGGTTAGCAACGTATTTGGGGAAGACACGATGTGGGCAGAGTACTTCCAATTAATTTACTTGCCATGTAAGCTTGACACACTAGAGGCCTGCAGGTTTTTACCACAGAAATGCACTTAAAAGTAATAGATGTTCACTGAGTGGCTTGGCAGCTCTCATTTCTCGGGAAATATGATCCAGTGCACTGAGCAAGACGTGGAGAGTGTACGGTGTGTTGGTCCATTGCTGTTTCAATGGTTGATCGGAAAATCCGAAACAATTTTAAACATAAATGAGCTGTTTTATGGGGGAGGGTGAATTTTTCTGAGGATTCTCACAATGAATAAACTTGATCCAGGAGAAGGTTTGCATATCGGAGTATCCTAATAATGTTAAAGCTAGTATAGCACTGAAAACCACCAAAGCAGACTTAGGGAATAATGGAAAGTCGAAAACGGAACACAGGTCTCACAGAACAAAACAGTCGACTCACATTGAGAACATCAGTGTCTACAGATAGCTGGCTGATCCAAGTAGTGGCGTAATGGATAGCATCTGGCATATGATGCTGACTTGATCTGGTTGCAGAATCACCAGGTTGGTTTGTGTCTCGAATATCAAATAAACAGGTAAAAGTAACCAGAATTTCCGGTTTGATGGTGAAGCAAACAATCCGTCCAAATATAACGGATACACCAAATCGCTGATCCGTTGTTCCGTCCTGAAATTCAAGGAAAAGAGACAAATATCGATGCTTCATTGAACAGACTAAGGAACATTCAATGATCAGGCCATGAAAAAGTTACTGACTTGGGATAGGTCTTTCGTGAAAGCCTTCTTTGGCCGCTCAATGCGCGCAGAAACCAACGGGCTGAAAATGCCAGTTCTAGGGTCGGGTTCACAGGGTTGAGTGCGCAGCAAGAGGTCACTTGATGGAGTGCTCGACAAAGACGAAGGCCATGCACCCAGCATGATGTATGGTGGAAGAACCAAAGTGTCCCGATGTTGGTACGAACCGCCGTTGAATCGCAGTGGATGGCATCGGACCCAGGTGGGACAGTAGTCTCCTGAAGCCAGACATTCTGAAGTGACTGTACGCGCATCAACCTGACAGAACAGTAAGAAACGGAATGAAATGAGAAATCCGAGATTAGGCCGTAACGAAGCTTCGCTTCAGGGGCTGGTCCTGGCTTAAGGTACATTGGTTTAGACTGTGTATTCGATTTCCGAGGGTTCAAAAATTCCCCTAAAGAAAACCTTCCATGTCAGTCATTACTCACCACATCCTACGAACGTACTTTCAGCCGACGCTCACATTTAACAACTTAAGTTGAAATTTACTCGGATGCGCATTCGCACAGCTAACACCCCTCTTTCACCGTCATTGTAAACAGTAAGACTCGAGTAGTAAATGCTAAGGTTGAAGTGACAATGAAGAAACGACCTGGAAGCTTACACACAACTATCCGAATTCCCATCAAAAACGACCAACAGATTTCAGGGCACACACACCAAAGCACTGCGTCGGAGTGCGAAAGTATAAGTGGCTTACACCGCTTGCACAGCGTGCATTGAGGATTCAACGTTTGTAATCCAACTGCCAAACTAGGTGAACAAACCGAAAACCAAGCAGAGTATCCGAACTATCTATATTCCGCAACATCGTCACACTAACTTTCTAAGACGGTCAACAGGTGACTCTAAGAGGCGATGAAGCTTTTAAATTTCTTTTCAGGTGCGGACAGAGGATAAAGAATGGAAGATAGTGTTGAATTGTGCTATCCAACTGAATTAGTACTCTTGAAGATCTCGTGGTAAATAGAACAGACGATACTTCGGTAAAAACCTACTAGCGAAAACTGAATGCTGCAGGTGAAGCCCACTACTCAACGGCTGACTTGATGATGAGAACGAATGACCATGCACAAATGCCACATGACAACGGCTGTACCCATAAAAATGTGACAACCTTAATTGGTCAGCTTTGATCAGCGTTTTCGACCGCGCTCCACGGTGTACGAAACACTGTACTAAATCTACGCACGCCGACGTCCTGCAATCACCAAAAGCAAATGTAGCTTTCTCAACATACCTGTACGTCATGAACACCAAAGTTAAGTTGGTCCAGCATGTAGGTCGACTTAAAATGGACGGCCATATGAGTATGGTCCGCGTCGCAAACCAGCTGGGCTGTGCACTTCCTAACCGAGTCGCTCCTCCACACGATGAGCCGAAAGTGCCGCAGAGTGAATAGAAAACGGCTGAGTGCGGTGTCAATAGAATCGTTCGGAATGGTGACCTGCGGTGAGCAAACCCAGTCGTCCTTCGTTTCCTGAATGGGACCAGAAGGTTCCGACTGTTTCCTTGATTGAGTATTGGCCAACAAGGCTTCGAGTACCGTAAAATCAGCGAAGATGACAAGGTTATCGGGGATGGCCACTTCAGTAGCACTGCCATATGTTCTCACCTGTAAAAGCAAGAAAAAAGTAAGAGGCTATCTACAGATCCACAACAGGCTGAAATCAAAACATGTGGTGAACTTCAATGACGATCAACGTATCCCTTTATAAACGTCCCAGTGGATATATCACAGAATTAAACGGATATGCCGGAAAAGGGTGTCGTGGTGTTGGAAGGAGTTCGACAGTGATATTAGTCGGGTTGACAGAGGTAGTTTTCACACACCTTAAAACACCATTTCTGAATATTGAGAGCAGTACACCTAGTCCACCGGGAATACTTCAGCACTCTACACTGAGCTGAAAATTATATATAGAGAACAAATGGACTTATATTTTCTAGGGAGTATCTTCACACTTTTGCCTGTAGAAATCTGCTCGGTTCCACTAATCCAATCTAGCTAGTACCACTACGTTGTACACTGTGCAAGATAGGCGGGATAGATGGGTTTAAAAAGACATCCAGTCTACCCCTTCAGCTTAACTTGTATTCTGTGATCACTTGAGTGTGGACAGCGGCGACCAGAATAGTCGGAAGTATTCGCCAATAATGGCAGTTTCCTTCGTGTTGTAAGCCATTCATTCGTAATGGCCTAGACCATCTTTACTGCCTGTCGACGTCACTTGTCGAGATGGACATGTTTGCCCAAAAGGGTCCTTTAATAGATGGATGGTACTTTCAGATTCCCAATCTTTATGACTATGCGATACAAATCCGAGATTCGGTTCAGTCGCTTGTCGAGAGCAGTTAGCTTAAACGGGGACTCTTCGATGGAGGGAATGTAGAGAGATTATTGGTAGTGTGGCGAGATTTGTGACTGAGAAGTCACCTGATAAGTGAAGCCAGCCGAGAAACACTTCTCGGCTTTTCAGCATGCACTGGCTTCACCTACAGGACGAAATTACGACCAAATTCAGGGAAACAATAGCAATTCGACAGCAAGCGACTTTCACGCTCCCTTAAAACATCCGTCACCCAAATGGTTGAACGTTTTCAGTGAAAGTCTAAACCATCATGTGTTTGCCTCCACAATACCAAGATATACTACAACAGAATTGTGTGTGTTTGGATGACTGGTAGTGGTGTAACCGCGTACACTACTGCTGGAGCATGTGAGTAGTCTGTCATGTCGAAACCCCGCCCACGTCTGATGGAAGTTTATTACGAAACTTGTGGAACTGCTTTGCGGTGTTCGTTTACAGTTTTGTAATAATCAATGAACATTCGCAAAGATTCAAGAAGACTCGTGAGAATGTTTAGACTTTAAAAACTGTGTGCATATGAGAAGTTTACATCCCTGTCCTCTAGCTTGTAACTGCTTAGTTGGTGTTCCCTAGTAGACTACTTCGCTAGAGGGTTATCTCCTCTCAGTGGTAGTGAACTCAGGTAGCCGATGACGTGCAACACAACATGAAATAATTTAAGAGGGCAATGAGGATGAGCAGCACGGAGAACCTTACAATCAATCACAGGCGTCATGTGATGGAGAAAACTACAGAGTCCCAAAAATATGAAAGCTTTCACTCAATCTTTATCTGCAAACTCACAGTATTATTCGTGTGACGCGACGCCGGGGCGAACGAGGCTGTGAGAGTGAAAGGCCGGACAAGCGGAGAAGCTGCGGCCGGAGAGGGCGTACAGTTCCTACAAAAAAACAAAAAAGACACGCAATTAGTCAGAAGAATATGTTGAAAAACGCGGGCTCAATTATCCAAATTGCTATTATGACAATTAACTGAAGCCTGAACAATAGCTGAATTACGACCGAAAATGAAGTCATGCAAAGCACTGATATGAAACCATGGCTTAGAGCACCATGTTATTCTTCCAATCTCTACAAGGATCATATTTCGGACTGGCATCAACACCGGACTGAATGGCATCCGAAACGGATAGAAACTGCCAGTCAACCATGAATTCCCCATGGGAGCTAAAGATAGCATTGTAGGTGTCACAGACCAATCAGATCACAGTCTACGAATGCCTTCTATGCAATTATATTCAAAATACTGGTCTGCTTATTAAAAAAATAAACAATCAAACCGAACAATAGGACAGTAGCATTTAGTTGGAGTACAGCTCCCAGTTGAGCAGGTCTCATGCAATTCACTGGAGCATGTGAGTAGTCTGTCATGTCGAAACCCCGCCCACGTCTGATGGAAGTTTATTACGAAACTTGTGGAACTGCTTTGCGGTGTTCGTTTACAGTTTTGTAATAATCAATGAACATTCGCAAAGATTCAAGAAGACTCGTGAGAATGTTTAGACTTTAAAAACTGTGTGCATATGAGAAGTTTACATCCCTGTCCTCTAGCTTGTAACTGCTTAGTTGGTGTTCCCTAGTAGACTACTTCGCTAGAGGGTTATCTCCTCTCAGTGGTAGTGAACTCAGGTAGCCGATGACGTGCAACACAACATGAAATAATTTAAGAGGGCAATGAGGATGAGCAGCACGGAGAACCTTACAATCAATCACAGGCGTCATGTGATGGAGAAAACTACAGAGTCCCAAAAATATGAAAGCTTTCACTCAATCTTTATCTGCAAACTCACAGTATTATTCGTGTGACGCGACGCCGGGGCGAACGAGGCTGTGAGAGTGAAAGGCCGGACAAGCGGAGAAGCTGCGGCCGGAGAGGGCGTACAGTTCCTACAAAAAAAAAACAAAAAAGACACGCAATTAGTCAGAAGAATATGTTGAAAAACGCGGGCTCAATTATCCAAATTGCTATTATGACAATTAACTGAAGCCTGAACAATAGCTGAATTACGACCGAAAATGAAGTCATGCAAAGCACTGATATGAAACCATGGCTTAGAGCACCATGTTATTCTTCCAATCTCTACAAGGATCATATTTCGGACTGGCATCAACACCGGACTGAATGGCATCCGAAACGGATAGAAACTGCCAGTCAACCATGAATTCCCCATGGGAGCTAAAGATAGCATTGTAGGTGTCACAGACCAATCAGATCACAGTCTACGAATGCCTTCTATGCAATTATATTCAAAATACTGGTCTGCTTATTAAAAAAATAAACAATCAAACCGAACAATAGGACAGTAGCATTTAGTTGGAGTACAGCTCCCAGTTGAGCAGGTCTCATGCAATTCACACACTGAAATAGGAAGGGTGATATAAAATCGACTGGAGTACGCGTTAGATCAGGCCAGGAAGTCGCACATTGTTGCACTTGAGAAAACAGTTCCTGCAGAAATACAAAACATAAAACTTAAAGACGACTTACCAACTAGTACGAAGAATGCCTTGGTTCCAATACTGAGCGGGATTCTGCTGTTCAGCTAAGACGTGTTTTTGGTGACCAAAAGTGTCGGGCAAGAGAAGAGAGTAAAATTCGGATGCCCAACAACACAGACCACGAGCTACAACGATGACTTGCTGTGGGTCTTCGTGTTCGGCCAGAGATGATGGGGGATATTGGCTGGAAGCGAGCTTCCCGGAAGGACGTTCAAGCTTATTGCAAACCAGGGGCTGAATTTCAATCATTTCACATCCTAGCACAACTGCATTTGCCAGAGGAGCTTCGGTACTTATTTGGGGAGTAAGATCCTATGAAAATAAATATAGAAAAAAACGGGACAGGTTGCCGAAATTTTCGAACCACATACGACATACATACACACGGTAAGCAGGATTGATCCAAGATGACTGAATCAATTGACACTATTCAGCAGATGATTGGTCTAATTTTAAAGCCCTTCGAAAAATTATCCGTTATTTTTTAAGCTGGAACAACGAAAAACCGTTGCGTATTTATATAAACCTAACTGAGTTAAAGTAAAATGAGAAGGATTGAAGGCCGCTCTGCAGTAGCGACAGCAAAAAGAATTAGCAAAGATGCATTGACCCTCCACATACACCGGGGCGAGATGGCTCAAGTCGTTAGAGCACGAACTTACTGACCGGAAGGTCCGTTGTTCGAACCCGAACTCCGCCTCTCGACATCCCCTGTTTATGCTTGGACAACCTGGCAGTATCCTATCCCTCGTGCTTCCTGCTTCCACACACACACACGTCTACGCTTGATTAACCTGGCGGTATCTCGGATCTCGTGCTTTCTATCAGCTGGTGGCACCTATGCATTGAAAACATACCTTCATTATATGCGGATCACCTCACAAAGCTCCACATGGACGGTCTACACCCCAATCAGGGAGGGCTGGAACGGCGGGCGCTCTACTTAACAGCACCCTGGCAATGTTGTGTTGGAGATTCAGATGGGTAGAGAAGGTCCACAACGACCTACATTACCTCACTCTTTTCCTGCTACACCCACACTCGCACCCCCACAGACAAAGCCACACTTCGTGATTCTTCGCCCTACTCTTCGGGATACATTGTCTCATCAACTATGCGAACACAAACGGCCACAGCACCGAACACTGGCTCCGGAAGCATTATTGAAGGCTAAGTTGTGTGTGAAAACGTCCAACCTGTACAAAACCCTGTAGGTATCTATCTTTTCGCTGACTTCCACCGAAGGTTCGCCGTTCGATCGAATCAACTACACTGCTGACTTGTCAAAATTATTTCTTGCACCTACGTTCATCAACAACCTTAGGCGGTTCGCTCATGTCAAACTCCTCGTTATTTGTGCGTCTAGAAATGTTGGTCTGCGGTGTCGAAGTAGCAAATACTTCAAGCTCGCTCAGATTATTCTTCTACGTAAATTTCAAGTTCGCCGTAATCTGTCACATTTAGTCTCATACTCCACTCAATTCCAGTCAATGCTACACCCTTTATGACTAATAAATTGCGAAATGTCTCTCATATCGAGAGGTGCTTCTAGTGTTTTGCCTGCACCATCACAGATCACGTTCATCGGGATCAGCTTATTCCATCTTTGGACATGCTGTTCGCAGCTTCGCTTTTGGTCACGTTTAGAACATTTCAATCCTGTTGTAGAACTCAAGCACTTGCCTCTACAACGTTCCCCAAAGCGATCCATTTCTGAAATTGTATGTAAACTTCGGTGATCACAAAACGCAACAGCCTCCAGTTAACACGCATCTCCTAAATCCAGAATGATTTTCGCACTTCCTATCTTGCTTACCATGTTTATGGAGGATGACTGATCACAACTTTCTAAACTACAACAATAGTATGACACCAAAAGCAAAGCGAACAGCTCTGAAAGCTCGCCTCATCATTCCACTGAAGGGCGTCAGTCTAGCTCTTCTGGATAGAAAACGTCTGTGCGCACCAACCGACTCAGCTACGTGAATAGAGAGCAGTCTCCGGACGGGAGTGATGATGGTTTGGGTTTTCGAACACTGACTGAATATGGCGCCGACGGAAGCGCATTGATGCTGTCAACGGGTCTCCAAACCTCTAGTCAATGCGACTGACGGAGTGAAAACGCAAAGAAGACATAAGTCCAGAAAAGCCATAATACTAACCTTGGAAAGCGGTAGAAAAATTCTGAAAGACTTGATTAGTATGTAGGAACGAAATGTGGTTGTTGGTACGTGAATATCCACGGCCGCGGCCGGCTCCTCCGGTTCGGCACCGGGAGAGTGATCAGTTGGCTCCATAGATGCATCGGCGCCAGGATAGAGATTAGCGTAGAAGCGGACTATTTCGTCTATCATGTCCGTATACAGAACTAAGTCAACGGGTTGTACGTTTAATATTAGTGTGTCCACGAACTGAACAGGACTGCTGGGCAAAGTGCTAGTGCAGAACTCATGACGATGCTGATAAGGAGGCAAGGATGATCGACAGAAGTGCAGATGAACTAAGCTGGTCTCTTTCCCACTGGCAAGCTGCGACAACGAATCGTAACAGCAGTGTTGCGCACCGAAAGACGATTTGGTCAGAAAGGTTAGGTGACGAGTACCAAAACCACTTTCCTCTGATTCAGAATCAGCGAACTGACTGGGTGGAGATTTTGTCGAGGACTCAGGTATCAAAGGGACGTCGGGAGAGTCTAGACCGGTAGGTAGTTCACCGTCGACCAAAGGCCGAAGTGATGACTCCATCGTAGAAAAGAGGGGCATGTAGGCGCTAGCCGGGAGAGAGGATAAAGAAAAAAGATTTAGCGGCAGGATGCATAACCGAAATAATGGACAGTTCCAAAGCAGAATGGGTGCAGAAAAACAGCGAAACACTTACTTGTCTTGACCTCGAAATTGGGCACAAGCACTTCCAATTTGGAAATCCACGATAAACTCGTCTTGCCGTAAACGCAAGGACAATACGAGCTGATTTAAAAGCCAGTAGACCGTTGTGGTGCATCCACTGCTTGGAGGCAATTTCAGGCGCCCGATGGCTGTCGGTATAGTAAAGTGGAACAGAAGTGAGACAGGGGGCACATTTGTTGTCACAATGAGTTGTGGAGATAAGCATAGATGCCGCACTCCTGATACTGAAGTTTGAGGTGCATGTGGAACTGGGTCATGTGGACCTTTCCAGTATGCTACATGGTCATCGCGATAGGAGGAAACAAAAGGCCGCCGAGCGCATCCAGACGACAGCGCAGTCCGCGTAATTGAAAGATCTCGAAAACAGGAAGCGTTGGACGTTGGTTGGACGCGATTGTTGGACCACCATTCAGATAAGAGTTTCAGCTGAGATGTGACAAAAACGCCGGTATGTGGAGGTCAGTATTACTAAGTAGATGCTATTGAAGCGAAGAAGAAGTGGGAACTCAGTGCAGACAATTCCAACGTATCTAGATAAGACGACCAAAAATTAAGCGCACAAATCTTCGAAAAGCAGTGATATAAAAACGTCCTAGCATCCTATCAGATCAAAACGCTATCAGTGGAAATATTAAACCATTAGTTGCGGACCCCACAAACCACAAGAAAGGGGCACAACAGCAGAGCAACTGAAAGTAGACAGCCCGTCTACAAAGTGACGGTAAATCCGCCACTGGACTCGATCACATGACAGGTTCTCCAAGGCTTGCGGCCACACGCAAAGAGAACCACACGGCCTCCAACTAGGGAAGCACGAAGAGCCTAAAGCATACCGTTTCGCGTTAGGCGCTGACATTTCATGTCTCACCGCATGCAATTTCGAACTACACTCAAGACGGGGCTCAATGGAAAAGTGATTTTTGAGAACCTGATACTTTCCAAGTTTTGTCTGCTAAAAAAACAAACGGTAACTGCGTATGGTCTCGCCTGAAATTTCTTGATGCACTCATACAATGTACGTATTAGACTGCTGTGAACTGTTGTCTATGGTCACTTTGGAATTTATAGTACTAGACCTGACAGGAGTGAGAACCTGATACTTTCCAAGTTTTGTCTGCTAAAAAAACGGTAGGTAACTGCGTATGGTCTCGCCTGAAATTTCTTGATGCACTCATACAATGTACGTATTAGACTGCTGTGAACTGTTGTCTATGGTCACTTTGGAATTTATAGTACTAGACCTGACAGGAGTGACACTTCAAGCCAGACTGAAGGAATGCTTGGCGCATTCGTAGAGTGACTTGTGGTATACAAAACACAAGTTGCAACGAAGTTCGGGTAGCGTATTATAACGCTTTAAATAGATAGTGAAAAAATAGCACGCAGAAACGCAAGATTAGACACGTCCAATAAACGAGCTGTGGTCTCATAACGAAAGTACTACTGCCAAGGTATCGCCGCATACTGGCAAGCACAGTATAACGACACAATGCAGTGTTTTAGCAAACCAATTTAAATATCGGACGAGTGTTACACAATGAAGCTGTTGGGAGCACAACAGGATGACTGGCTAACAGTCTTAAAAAGTCACTGCGGCCTCTTAACACAAAGTTAGTAAGGCTACCTTCTACTAACCGTTCCACTTCACTTCGGAATATGCTTCAATACTCAGAGTGGGAATTAGTTCAGGAAATACGGACAGCACCGAAACAGCGAATCCAACTGTGAGGTCAAGCTCTGTGTGTTGGAACACACAGAGCAAGAAAGCACATAGTCCGATCAGTTGGATAGCACTTAAAGGGGTCTGGACATGATGGGACTATTCAATTTTTTCTGTTCGGTTATTTTGGTTAGTTAACCATGTAGAGCCCGGGGAGGCCAATGCAATTTACAACGAAGGGTATCCTAAGTGGTTTAAAATCTTACGTACAAAAACCTTAAGGTCTTGTGCTGACAGGGACCATTCACCAAACTACCTCACGAGCCTGATCTTCAGCTCCAAGGTTGTAAAAGCGTTTCCCAACTATCCCTAAAAAAACCCGCAGCCCTGGATGTAAAGTTACATTAGCAACAACATACTGGAGCAATAAGACCACTCACCTTTGGGATCATAAGTTTCCAACTAAAAACAAGAAACTTAATACTCGTCCCCAGTTGGAATAAATGCAGCACGGAAGGCATCTCCAAATCATGTGGGCCAAAATCATCACAGTTCAGCTGAGCATGGACACATGCATCTAACGATGATGCCACTGTGACGGAGCTATGTACTAGCTGACCTTGAGGAAACCGCAGCTTAAAATCCACATTGACAAGCAGAGTTCCTGAGAAAAGGAGTTGTTTATCGACCTTCAGACATACATTCCTCAAACAGAGAACCCAAGCGCCGCACTTTTTCGGGGGAACACCAGGTGGAGTGATGGAAGGTAGTGCTGATGTAGCATCGAGCCAGGATCGACTGGATGACACAAGACCCAGAGAATCAAATGAGTCAGGATAAGTCGGTGTTGGTAGATCATCAGGCTTTGAGTTATTCAACAATAACTCAGATAAGCTAACCGTTGTTGAGACGGGATCAAAGAACGTTGAACGAAAACCTTGGTGTAGGATTTTGCCCGGCACTTGATGTGTTACAGGATTTGCACTGACAACCAACTTTGACGGCATCATTGAAATCTGAAAGATAAGATCGGACATCATTGGTTTGTATCATTAATTATACCTGTATCACGGATATAAAGGTTTAGGTACGCGATTTTTTTGCGAGGGACAACAATACCACGAGGGAGAAACCCTCCCAAAAAGGTAGAAATACGTTTCACCTTTCGAAATGATTGTCTCGTAAGAGATGTCCCAACGGACTTTAGGTACCTCCAACTATAGTCATGGGATCAACGTGGTGCAGACAATTAAATCGGTCAAATCATTTCAAACATTTGGAAGTGATAGGTTCAATATTATGGGTTACTTTGAGTTTACAGATAAACTGGACCCATTGACTTTCGATGATAAAAAAATCGCTGAGCTGTAGCAACCTTTCGGTGTCTAGTTGCTGCGCCACACGAAGGAGATACGAGGGCTGGGATACTGCCAGGTCGCCCAAGCCTAGACATGGGAAGTCGAGAGGCAGAGGTCGGGTTCGAACCACGGACCTTCCGGTCAGTAAATTCGCGTTCTAACCACTTGGTCGATAATAGCGAAACACTGTCAGCCTAGAATTTTCTATCTTATTATAATTATTTGCGAGTTGGTTGTTCTTGGTCTGTGGTAAGCTATATGCTGAATAACAATAACAAGATGAAGAAAAGCACCGAAGGCGCCTTGTGAATATGCCCATGGTCAGACAAATCATGCCATTAGGATGACCAATCGCAGTGGGCTCCCACACTTTACAAAATGTAGCAGAGTTATCACCCGGAGTCACAAATAACAGTCGTTTAGCTGTAACACCATTTCGGTGCCCGGTTGCCACGCTTTGCAAAGGAAGATCGGATACTGCCAGGTTTCTCAATCCTGGACCAGAACAGTCGATATGCAAGGGATGGGTTCGAACCAAGTCATTAAATTCGCGGCTTAACTAGTGAGCAACCTCAAACTCGGATAGGGTGTCAATGCGAAAATTTTACGATCTGGATAACAGAACAGGAAGATTCATTGTTTTTGAAACTCTTCAACAGAGTGGTACGAGTGTTCCTTTTACTGCAAATACAACCCTGTCATGACCCAATGATTCTTTTGAACTGAGAACTGACAGGATACTCAAGGCTACCCACATTTCTTCACGTTTCACCTCCCGGATATGGAGCTAGAAAATCAGGCTAAATGGACAACTTAGCAGTGCTCCGACTCAGAGGAAGTGGAAGAAAGATCAGTAGGCAATAAAGGATAACGATTTCGCAAGGATCACCATAACAGAATGTAGCCCCTAAACAGTAACGGCATCCGAAGATACACGTGAAATTGTTAGTTTATACGACATCAGTACGCAGTTAATACCACAACTGAAAACATCAAATAGCCATAGAGGGCACCATGTATTGTATAGACGAACTCGACTGCTGCGAGTACGATCCAGTCTACATTGGCCAAGTGAATGCACGCCAAACATACCGAACGTAGGCGAAAAATACGATGATGATCCACAACGGTAGTCTTTGCCCACATTGTGACGCTTCAACAGACAAAAGATATTACAAAATGACCGGGATAACCATGTTGAGTGTTTTGACGCTGCATAGCTCGCCTTAGGTAAGCATACCAGTTATAAGCGAATACCACATACACACCAGTGAACTTTCCTCAGCTGACTTCCGCATACATGTGATACAGTCAACCCCAAAATGCACTCATGGTCTTTGTAAACTCCCTGCTCCCGATAAGGCTTACCGTGGGTAGCTGAAGTGACTCTTATAGAACTCCTAAACCCCTATTGTGTTTTTAAAGATACTCAATGTGAAAAACACAGGCCTAACTGAGTGCGAGCCACTGATGGACAGAAAGCTTTCCGTACCAAACTACTTATTAGAACAATAGTAACAGTTATGACAGTGATAACGACCATTTCTGGTTAAACCGACGTATTGGCTAGGGAATGGTTCTGGTTCCGTCTGCACGAAATTCGGTTATAACTTTACTTTGCTTCTCTGAATACATAAAAAGGACTTAGCAATTGACCTGCTAACATTTCATGATCACTCGAGAAGCACATGAGCAAATGAGTTTGTCTAACAGATCGGAAAGCGTGCACATTATTTTTCGCCCTTTACTTTGCGCGTCATTTGTAAGTCAACAGCTGAAATGCGGAAAGTAGTCAAGTGACAACAACAATGAACATGATTCAGGTAGTGGAGCAATTGTGGATGGTATGTAGCCTACTGACCTGTATACTCGTCTTCATGAGCAGTTGATGGGTCCCATTTAAAAATCGTCGGATCGTGAGCCAACTTGCTGGATCTCCGAAAACAGTGTGCTGAAATTCGTCAGTGATAAGCCGACTTGAAGAACAAAATGATTCGCAGGTGGAGCTACGACTGACCCGCTCGGCTGGTAACACTGACTTTGGAATGGGGAGAAATAGGCTGGAGGCAGCGGAGATGGGTTCAGAAACCGAGCTAGACGACCCTTGGTTTAAACAGGTGGTGACTGAAAATCAACGACAAGGTTCTTGTTAGGTATGCTTAGAATAACCCAGATAATGCTGGTCCGTTGAATCGACCAGGTAACATGAGGGGTGAGATTAGGAGTTAAAATACCTCAATTAGAGGTCACACTGGGTTGATTTCTTCAGACAAATACCACAAAGTACAACTGACAAACACGATGGCTACTAAAGGTTTAGTTAGGCCTATTCGAAAGGCTGGGGAACATGGAGGTGCCCTGAACTATCCAAAATCTAGAACTGAAAGTTTACCATCCAACCTATAAGACAGATACATATTAGTGGAGCACTGGAAGAAAACGAAAAGGCTGACCACATGGGAATGTGGCTCTCTTAGCGAGACACTAAAGAAAAGTCAAAAAATGTTGAGACCGCAAACACAACCGAATACGTCTCTGTACCAAACAGTAAAGACCAATCCGAACGGACAAAAAGTGGACACTTTTAAGCCTAAAATATGCGATAAGAATAGTTTGCAATACTAGTACATGGAAAGCTGCGGTTGATTGAGGCCGGTCAGGTGCAAACAATAACTCAACATGACTGTCACTCGAAAACATAGACAACCACAAAGTGCTTGACGCACAGTAGCTCTCAACATCGCAACCTCAGTCCCCGGTGGTCTCGCGATGTAAATGTGAAACGGTACAAGGAAAACGATAATATCAGTAGTATGTTCATTCTACAACAGGAAGAAAGTTGTACTCAAATGCACGGTAGGCTGTGACTGGGCTTCATTTGTTAGTCACATTTTTGTGCACTTCAGGAATTCCGGAGGCGGCAACTATGTTCTACTGCCAGCTATTATAAACCGATTTATGCAAAATATTAGAAGCCTTGATAAGTTTTGTGGGTATGTGTGGATACAAAGTACCTTGTGGTCCCAACGGATAAAACAAAGGATAGACGACCATTTCTAATTGAAGCATCTCCAACAAAAGCTGACGAAAGCAGTTGTGATTCACAAACAGCAGCTCACTATATACTGAAATCACACACACACACACACACACACACACACTAAGTGCGTGTGTTCAGCCTTAGCCATGAAACTCGTAACCCTAATTACCGTCACCTTGCGGAAAAGGATAACAGTGAAGTTGACAAAAAATCAATCAAAATGAAGACAAATCTGAAAGCGTTTACATACATACATGGACTCACCCCATGGAAACCCGTATTCATGTTCAACGGGACGGGAGTTCTTTCCCGGAAGCGATAATTCATCAGATTCACAAATATTCAAGGCAAAGCAGAACCAGCTGACCAGTTCAGGAGTAACATGACCCTCAAGACCGCACACACTCACTCTAAAGAGCGCAGGGACTGAGGTGGAAAAGAAGGAGGACGAGAACTTCAGCTGGGTGTTTTGTTAGGTGGGCAGGAAGTAAAACATCTCTCACGTAAACAGACAAAGAAGCAGTGCAAGTAAGTGTTTTTCGGAATAACGAATAAGAATTATTAAAAAAAAATCTAGAGAAAGAATCAGGGGAAACCATCACCCCTGTGTAAGGGGAATAATCAACGTGCAAAGTGAGAGAGCGTGAGAAAATTGATTCCCATTACTCCATGGAACAAACTAAGTTGCAGGGGATGTAAAACTGACAGCATTTTATGTACGAACACGAATGCATTATTCACAAAATTAGCTGGGATCAAAATTAACTGATGACGTCCGGGTGGGAAAGTTTGTCTACCAAACCCCGTTGCACAAAATAGCTGGTCAGCGACAGATCAGCCAATCCGATATCCGCCTGTAATGTCCGAATGTCACGGTGAAGATCTACAGTGAACCAGCTGGAGACCACGGTAAATAGTGATAAATGTTCAGTTGTAACACCCTTTCGGCCCTAGCTGCCATGATACTCGAAGAAAGCAGGTTACCAGGTTGCTCAAAACTAGACAGCAGAAATCGGGACGCCGGAGTTGCATTCGAACGGTGGATCTTCCGGAAGTAAGTTCACATCTTAACGAACAAGTTTACTCGTGCTGGCTAGAGGCCATGTTCATGTCAGAAAATCTACCAGCCTGAATCAAGCGTTCTGCTCGGGGACCTTAGTCCGAACACGGAGAATTTATGGTGATCTTCCAGAGAATTCAGTGACTTCCAGTATAAACACAACTGCGGCATTCTCATTTCCTTCTATACGCTTATTTCAATCACAATGCGTTCCAATACACACTGGTGGGTGGTACAGCGATTGGGCGCCCATTATATGAGATGCACAGCTACACCAACTGTCAAAAGAACATACAAGAATACTGATATTGAATACTGTCTTCTGGTCGCATCTACTCCAACTTGCACGTCTTGCAGTCCAATTGAGTGAAACCGAGTTATTCTTCCTACATAGTTTATAGCTGCCAGGCTGAAATTTTAAAAAGTGGCAACTGCTAGCGGAGCATCCATGACCTAGAGCATTCTGAAAACTGGGATGGCTAATGTACATGATGGAGGCAAGCACATTTCAGAATGGCCTACGCAAGTCATTTATTCCTGCTTCTTGCATACTGACGAACAGCGATTCGTAAACTGATCGGCTAAAACCCATCGATAACATTTTTCTAAGACGCCGATCTCAAGAACGAACATTCACAGCTAACAGAGCGAAAATCGAATTCTAAATTCATAGAACGATTTAACTTCGCCTCCAACATATGCAAGTATGACATGCTGTCCTGTTCACTAAGCACGACAATTCACTTACACATTTCAGCACCAATCGATGTGACGTGTGATGGTCTGGTACATGAAAACGGGGGGACAGGGACGCACTTAGAACCGACGTGAAGCCACCACAGCGAATACAGAACTCAACCTGACAGCTCGAAGTGAAGCGAGTGAAAGGTGAACGAGACAACTGTGGGAACCATACGACCGACAGGACTAAGGCGACCGAACGCGAGTTGCAGAGGTCAACTTTATAGTTCATCTCGACGCCCACTAGTCGGAGAACGAGCCAACAAGCCGGCCAAGGAAGCCAATTGTCTAAATGACCAAGCATAGTCGGGGGCAACCCTCTCATCAATAAGAGGTATGCAGAAAAAAACATACCGATGTGCCACTAAGCTACGACACACCTCTAACGTCTCATCGATCGCTGACGAGGCGTCCACAACCGACCAGGGCAATTTGCTAAACGTAGGGCATGCGGCAGTGTGATTCTAGCAGAAATCTGCTGACCATGTGTAACCACTGATACATTCGGGTAGTGAGAAAGGGCTGCCTACATATGAACGTTTGCGATGTTTCAATGCACGACTCCCAATAGACTTAAGTAACGTGTCACTAGGATGCAAACAACAAATACAGAGTACTACAAACATATGAAAATGCAGTCAACGAGATCGGTCAGACGTAGTTGTCGCTCCATCAGAATAGTTGATTCGTTCGTATGATAACTACGCTCACGGTATACCATTACTGACCATGCAGACGACATTGCCTTTGGGAAGTTTTCACACATCCTTCGCTCAGTCGTCACTTCTCTTCGGTATCTGTCGTTTTCTTCAGTGAACCATATTGTTATCGCGTTGTCGTCAAATCAGCTGTGCCTTTTAAATGTTTCACTAATTGTTCGTATTGACTGCTTCAAAGTTACTCGTTTGACTACATCTACTACTACACACCTGCAAAGCGTAAAGTGCTACTGCAAGACTGGGTGAGCTCGAACCCTAGCCTCATGCTTGCGGATGAACCGATTGAAATAGTAGACAAATGTGTTTACCTGGGCAGCTACATCAGTCCCGGTGGTCTCGCGAAAGATGAAATTTCCATCCGTATTGGGAAGGCCAGAGCAGCTTTTGTGAACCTACGTCACCTGTGGCGTAGGCGTGACACCAGCTTCTCTGTCAAGGGTCGGGTTTACAATGCTGCGGTGCGCTCCATATTACTATATGGATCAGAAACCTGGCCGCTGCGCGCCGAGGACGTCAAAAGACTTTCAGTGTTTGACCATCGATGTCTTCGGAGCATTGCCCGAATCTGGTGGGAACACCGGATCAGCAATTCTGAAGTACGTCGAATGGTATTCGGGAGAAATAACTCACCCTCGATAGATGAACTGATCACACTGCACAGGTTGCGCTGGCTTGGCCACGTGCTGCGTATGCCAGTCGACCGACTTCCTCGAAGGGCTCTTTTCGCCCAACCATGTGAAGGGTGGAAGAGAGCCAGAGGCGGTCAAACAATGACTTGGCAGCGAAGTATGAAAGCCATTACCAGCAAACTCAGCTGCGCTGGTCACTGCCGTCTTCCTGGATGGGGACCCCGATACGGGCCACATCAATGGCTAGAGACATTGGCAGACATGGCCCAGTCGCGCCCTCAATGGCGCTCGTGCATCAAAGTTATTGACTTCAATGCATAGCTCCTTTTCCAACCCCCCTTACTTGACAGCCCACTGACAGTGCTGGATTTATATACCAATTTATCATCTCTCGCCTGCAATGTGCAGCTACTTACCCCCCAATCATCGGTGAACGAAACTTCGGCAGCCACAACCACTGTACGATAAGTACGCGGTTATTGCAGCTGACAGTGATGATGACTACATCTAGTGGAAAGCCTAGGTTCATCCTAGTCAATCACAGAGTTCATGTGTAGAAGGGCCACATTCCTGCGTAGTTGTCGATATCATTGGAAAAATGGTGCGTACCCGCTAGCCACAGTAGATATTACACTAGTACCAATGAATTCGGGTTTGTACACCAACACTGATAAGACAAACAGGTGTTCCGGTATTGACTAAGTCAGCATAACCCACTCACAACAAAACCTAAACTAACAGCAAACTTAAGCCACGCGGACGTTACACAGACAAGAACGATGATTTTCATTCGTGTATCTAAAGCTACAGCTGCGTACTAGTTGGTCCATCATTAGGGCGCTCGTATACATTGAATGGCACAATAAAATTCAAGTTAACGTTTGAAATCACTTTCGTCGTTCTGATTCAAGGGACAGAGCGAAAATTCGTTAGGATTAACGGAGTAGCAGAAACCGGGCTGAGAAAACCTCGAAAGTTTGACAGAGGATGACAACGATGGGGAATTGGATATGCCAAAGGTCAGCCAGCCAAAAGGCAGGTGGAATGATGTCAGGTTTTCTGAAGGCTATGAATACAGCAACATGTGAGATGTCAATCCGCTGGTAGTGTGAGGGGGGTTGGAATTTTCAATGGAAGTTTCAGCAATGTTTGCTGAAAAGCCGAGAAACACTATAGGGCTGTTTCATTCTTATTAGGAATCATCAGCACTGCGCAAAGCAGGAAATCTCGAATCCGCGAGCTTCCTCCCGGTAATCTGAACGTGAACTGTTTGTCGCCCCTCGTCTTCAAACTACCGGTCGGGTGGTCGTGAGTTCAAGACTCCCTGGGGTTTCATGAGACTCGCGATGCCGATGATCCTCAGTACGGATGAAACAGTTGTACAGTGTTTTTCGGCTTTTCAGCATACACTGGCTTCACTTACAGGATGAAATCTCCATTTAAAGATATCAATCTACCCACCATCTGACACTCAAATGACACACCTATGGAATGTTGTGAGAGGTAATAGTCGATAAAATAGTTGTTATCTATTCAGTCCTCTTCTGTGACTAATGTCATACGGCACCTGTGTGCTAATTCGACTCCATAAAACGATATGGGACTTCTTTGAAGTTAGACCTCGTTATAAAGTTACCCAAGATTACCACTGGTTTCCGCGGTAGGTGATGTTATTAAGAGGTTGGACTGCACCAAGTCCTGCAGGAACCGAATGCTGCACTACACCGTGGAAAAAAATTCAAAGTGCGATAAACAGTTCACAGCCAAGCAGCAAACTGGAGTTGAGCTTACTGACTTAGGGCTAATCCTCGTGTGTAAATGTAAATAATTGTGGCGCTCAGGTAAAAACCACCGAAAAGTCCGAAAGTCACCAGAAACAAGCTCACTCAGATCTACATTGTCTAAATTATTTTTGGACTCATAATACCACCCAAGAAGAGCCAAAACTTTCGCCTTTGAGTAGCCGGAGGAGATCTTGGCACTTTTGAAACATGGTAGCATAAAAACACTTACTGGAAAAATTTAAAGCGTCGTTGGGAAACTGACAAGCGAGTCCAACAAGTGGCACATCCTCAGCTGGATGCAGATAGGGGCCATCGTTGAGCGTAAAGCAGGGTCGGCTCGATTGTAGGGAGGGGTCACGTCGAACTATAGGAACGATGATTCCACAATCAGAAAAACGCAAGTAGACAGCCAAGTCTGTTTGCACACTGAGTTGATATACGC